CCATCTGCTTGCCACCCCTGTCTAGCCTCTCTTTTCCTCCACAGATCTTGCTCACTTTCATGTCTATTTATTTGTTTTTATGACTCACTGGATTGACTTAACAAGGGTCATCTATGTGACCATGGTTTAGAGCTATCTGTTGGTGCCTGGTGGGCTCAGTAGTGGGTCCACAACTGAAGACAGTGATTCCTGCTTTCCCAGAATCTATCAATAGCCAATAGTTTGACAGTAAAGGGTAGGGCCCCTTTCCATGACTGTTGACAGGGTCAGACTTGACAGGACCAGTGCAGGCTGTTGTGAGGTAATGATTTCAGTGGTTGTATAGTGTCTAGAGGATGGCATTTCGCAGCTCTTCACCCTGTTCCTCAGCTCCTACACACTTCCCAAACCCCTTCCACAAGGTTCCCAGAGCCTTAGAAGGGGTATTTTATTTTTAATATCTAAGGGATAGGGCTGGAGAGATGGCCCAGCAGTTAAGAGCCCTGGCTGCTCTTGTGGAGGACCCGGGTTCAATTCCCAGCACCCACATGGCAGCTAACAACTGTCCATAACTCCAGTTCCAGGGGATCCAATGCCCTCCTCTGATCACCATGGGCACTGCACAACAGGGGTACACTTACATAAATGCAGGCAATGCACTCATACACATAAAATAAAATTAAATGAAATAATTTTTAATTATTTACTTAATAACCACATAATTAGAAGAAGCATTTCATTACAACAGCATTGACATATTCAATAACAATTTCCAGAGCTAAGATGCATCTCTTTCAAAATTGGCTGTAAATTTTTAGGTTTACAGTTTAATTAATTCAGTTATACAATAATAAATAAAATAATTTTTTTTAAATATCTAAGGGAGAATATTATTATCACCCCTCATTTGCTCAATAAGCAGTTCTCATGGCATTGCTAAGGCTTTGATCTAAACATTGCATCTGGGGTTACTCACAATGATGTCCTCAAGGTAGTGGGACTGGAAGTTGTCAGGCCCTAACACCTCTCAGCTAGTTAATATGACATTGTTTCTCATTGCAGCAATTCAGCTTCGTGTCCTTGCCAACTGATGTGCTGGAAATTGAAGTGAAAGACAAGTTTGCCAAGAGCCGTCCCATCATCAAGCGTTTCTTGGGAAAGCTGTCAATGCCTGTTCAGAGGCTGCTGGAAAGACACGCCATAGGGTAAACTGGGACTGGGATGTCAGCATTACTAGGGTTCAGCCAATAAGCCATGCTCCAAGGAGGCTTGTAAGCCTCAATAATAAAATCGTACGGAAAGAAAACTAAGATAGTGTTCCAGTTCCTTGGATTTTCCTATTAATATTTCCTGAGCCATGGTATTCAATTAAATCCTTCCCTTCTTATTTGTGTATAATTTGTATACTACATATGCTGCAGTGTAGGAAATCCTAAGATAGTGTTGAAAGAAACCACATTGAGACATTTTTCTATGTAACTAGAAAATTAAAGCTTGTTTTTACTATGAGGATGGTTATTTCACTATTTGCCTGTCCTATATGTACAGTTTAATCACGTACAACCTTTCTATAAGAAGATGAAATCCTAGGTATCTCAGAATATGCTCCTATTTACAGAAAATGCTAGGTAAAATAGACGAGAATTTGAAAGCATGCCTTCCTACAGAATGACAGCAGCTATGTTGCTTACAAAAGTCAGTTGTACATGAGAATATGCTTTGTGCTTCAAATATTTTACCTTCATATTCACTCATGGTTCTCATTAAAATGAACTATAACTATATAAACTCTGTATATAATATATGTTCCCTTAGGTGATAGCAATTATATTTGGAAATACTAGCAGGGATCTCTGGATATAGCGTATCTTTAATATGATATAACCCATAGAGGGCTATCAAAGGGATCTTTGTACAATTTTTCTTTTGCATAAGAGAGAACTTACACTTATAATTTTCATGTATTTTAATTTGATGTTCCTTGAGGCTCCAACTGTTACCTTACATCATGTATGTAGCTCTGTGTCTGTGTATATATATATATGCTATTGACACTCAAACCAAAGGAAGCTGACATTTATAGAGATACAGCACAGTATCTGTCAATGTTTTCAGTTTCCTTTCATGTTAATGAAAGGAAGCTGACATTTATAGAGATACAGCAAAGTATCTGACAATGTTTTCAGTTTCCTTTCATGTTAATGAAGAGCAAACAGAGAACATGTTCATAAATGGTCTAACGCCATCACTGTCACATGCTAGGAACTCAAAAGAGAAAGGTATTTCTTGTGACCATTATTTCAGTTAGTTTTTGTAACACTTCTATAACATAGGTGTTATTATTTCTCTATAGGAAGAAGTGAGACTTGGAAGGGATAAGTTAAGGTAAAACACATACTTGCCTCTCTCCAAAGACCAAGGACAGCTTCTCCATAGAAGGCTCCTTACAGGGGTCCTGGGACTGGTTCTCTAGTTTGTCATAGGCCAGCCTGTTCATTTCTCTCCTACTCCATACTGCTGACACTGTGCCAGGTGGTAGGCAGGTGGATAGAGGAGGGCGCCTGATACATTCCTGCCGAGCATATACTAGACATTCAGTTGCTACTTATTGAATTGAACTCTCTGGCTCATTCCAGCCACTGAGAGGACCCATCTGCTTTCTTGTGAGTGCTTTTATTCTTGTCATTGTCCTGCACTCCCAGACTCCTACTGTGGATTAATACATAAGCAGGTTTCAAAAACAAGCAACTGCTATAGAAAAGGGTCTCCGCTAGCCTGAACAAGGCAAATTTGGTTTTCCTAGTGTTCTTGAAACCGGAACAGGTGCAGTGTAGATAACTATAAGCTTATCCCCTCTTTAGGAAGCTACAACAGCAAGCCTCATTGTACCCCTCCCCACCACTTCTGATAGAATAACTCACTGCCCCTGTTGGCTGTGGAAGTTCTCCAACTCCTCCTCTTCCTTGTCCTCCTGCTTCTGCTCTTCCTCCTCTTTCAAGACCTGCAGCTTTCATCACCCATAGATAAAGTAGGTCTACCCATTCTAGATATGGCTCATGTAAGTAGGAGAAAATTATTGGGGTGATAGTCATGAAGCAGTAATCATTTGGCTTGAGCCATTGTAGAACCCCAGAGTAAACCTAGAGCAAAACCAAATCTTCCTCACACTAGAATTTCCCTCTATCCTCAGCAAATGGGCTCCCCCATAAAGTTTCCTGAACTCATTGTTTTGGGAACTCTCTACCTGCTAATTTTTTCATCAGATAGTTGCACCTTTCCTCCATAGGCACACACACACACACACACACACACACACACACACACACACACACTTTCCAATCCTCCCTCCATTCTTTAAGCTGTAGTATATTAGCCTTCACTTTCTTCTGGGCCTCTAAACTAGACCATCTCATCTTCACTTTGGAAGTGTCACTGACTGCTTAGACCATTATTTACTGGTCTTTCCTTATGCCCCAGCTAGATGTAAGCTATCAAATGTGGGGACTGTGTGGTACATAGAGACCTCAGCCTATATGAAATAAATTTCAACTACAGCAGATTTACCTGGCAGGGGCTCAGAAACTATTTGCTCTCTGAGTGGTCAAATTTAGAAAGTGTGTGCAAAACAATTAATTTCCATGTCACCATCTGAGCATTTTTAGCTCTCTTTTGATGTCAATTCAGTTTTGGATTCAGAATGTATTCTTATTATCATAGTATACTGCTACATAATATTGACCAGGATCCTCCTTTTCTAAACAGACAGAATTTTGTGGCTCGTCCTATTTTTTCTATATATAATGCTTTAATTAATGGACTTCTGACAGTAAACACCAAGCAATGCTTTATCAAGGAAAACTATTAACTCAGCAGTTTTTTCTAAGAAATGTTTAAGTCCTACTAGCCAATGATTCATATTTTAATTTGAATGTCACAGCTGAATAAATGACGGTAGGTTACCATGCCTTCTCTGCGTTTGCCCGCCCCACCTGCTGGAAGTCATACATGGTTTCTATTTAGTAGGAAAGATATTGACCAAATCCGTGATGGTGCTTATTTTCTTCTAGGGATAGGGTGGTCAGCTACACTCTTGGCCGCAGGCTTCCAACTGATCATGTGAGTGGACAGCTGCAATTCCGATTTGAGATCACATCCTCCATCCATGCAGGTATTTCCAGCATGATCTTTATATCTTGTCTGAGGTTAGTGTCCTTAGTGTGGTTCCTTTCTCTAAAACATTAATAATCATCGTTCTTTCCAGGCATGTCAAAGGCTTTGTGGTTCTCTGTCTTCTCCATTTGTGTCCCAGAAGTCAACGATTTGTTTTAGAAGTCAGGATTGCATCCTCTTGAGTAAGAGGTTCCCCTTCACTTTGTCAACCCGAAGATAAGACATTAAGGTTGACAATGTGGTCTTTATGGATACTGAATTGTGTCTTATTATTCTACTGCCAACAGTCACATAGGAGGTTCTTAAGATTATGTTTATCATTTCGTATATGAATGAATGAATGAATGAATGAATGGCATCTCTTTGTACTTAGTAACTAGATATAGACTGGCCAATAACTGAAGAGTGCCACATTGATGGAGAACTACAATTATACAATAGTTTTTTACAATATTACAGGGAAAATGAAAATTATGAACGGAAAATTTCAGAGTCATCCAGTGTTCAGTTTTCCATGCCAAACCATATTTCCAAATAATAATAACAATGAGATGCCCCAGAATTCTACTTTTGCTCCTCTCCTCTCCCACAGCACTTACACTAAATGTAAATCATGCTGAGAATTGTGAAGTCCTCTTTAGCCAAGTGTATGAGTTGCTTAAACTAAGGAAGACTCCGAGCACTTAGAGTCTAGAGTTTACTGCTATCCAATCATTAAGCTCTACTAAAGTTTTCTATACTCAATATACAACTAGGTTTTAAGAAAATATCTTGACAGTTTTATCCTATCAAATTCAGGCTTTTGCTCCATTCTGAGAATAAGACTGGCCCTTCAATGTATCATAAAGACAGCTTTGTGTTTTAGTGGAGAGACTGTTTTCCTTCAAACAGTAAATTGCACTAGAGTATTTGAAGTGAGGTACCAATCTAATACCATGCCAGCAGAGTAGCCAAGTAAGGTAAAGTTAAACAGTGGTTGCTGCTTCTTGAATGACTATGTGGTATGGAGAACTTTTTCTACCGTAATACAGTCCAAAAGACAATAATTACATGTGTTCGTGACCCAACCCTTTTCCTCTTTGTATTAGCCTAAGAACCTGACTGACCCATTTTGTCACCTTGCAGAATGTATCCATGGGAAATATTCTGAGCAAGTTCTACTAACTTCATAAGATTATTGAGGAATTATAAACACTGCGACCTTTCCCACCTCTAGAAGTCATTTCATGTAGCAAGCATTGCTGAGCCCAGAGGTGGAGTAAAGCTAGGTTTGAGGCACTTTAACTAAAAAAAGAAAAAAAAAAAAAGAATTTAAAAAGCAAAAGCATTCCCTTGAAAAAGAACTTCAAATACATCCACAACTGCAAAGTGTCATTAGCATAGAGAGTACTCATTCTTACGGAAATTTTCAGCTGAGCTGTAGTCAGTAAAAAGCCCTCATCAACTCTTTACACCCAATATCCTAAATTAGAACTCCTTAGCAATATTTAACACGTGCCTACACAGAACTCGAACTCCACAGTGCTCACTTCTGAAGATTAACATATTTTTCTTCTTGCCTACAGATGACGAGGAGATTTCCCAGAGTACTGAGCTTGAGTCAGCAGAAATTCAGGATAGTGCCATGAACAATGTGGTAGAAAGGAGTGGTGGGGAGCCTCCCAGTGATGCTCCAAAGCCCTGCAAGAGCTTGAAGCCAGAGCCACCAAGTGAGGGGGATGGAGTGGACAGCTCAGGAAACCAAAGCCTAGAGTATGCCAGGCCAGTTGAGGAAGCAGCGGACACCAGGGAGGCAGGAGATGGTGGCATGTTTTCTGAGGGACCTGAAGAAGCTGGAGAGTTTCAGGAACCAGGGCAACATGACACCCAGCCCACTCTGAGTGCAGAAGAATTGGCCGAGGGACTTGACCTGGATGAGGAGGCACCACCGTTGCTGTTGCTGGAAGACAGTGCGCCTCCAGCCGGCAAAGTGGAGGAGGCAGTATCAGAAAACGGGGCCAGAGAGGAGGACGAAGAGATGCAGGAGGAGAAAGGCCAGGACATGAACGAGGAGGAAGAGGATTTGTCCACCCTGGAGCAAGGAGAGGATGGTCTGCAGCTGAGGGCTTCAGTGAAAAGAAAAAGCAGGCCATGCTCCCTGCCTGTTTCTGAGCTGGAGACCGTGATCGCGTCTGCCTGTGGGGACCCTGAGACCCCGAGGACACACTACATCCGCATCCACACCCTGCTGCACAGCATGCCCTCAGCTCAGAGAGGGAGCACTACAGAGGAGGAGGATGGCATGGAGGAGGAATCCACCCTCAAGGAGTCTTCCGAAAAAGATGGGCTCAGCGAGGTGGACACTCTAGCTGCCGACATGCAGCCCATGGAAGAGGACGGGGAGAACGAGGGGGCTACTCTACGCCTGGCACCCTCTGGAAGCCCTGATGGCCACTTCTTGGCCAACGGAAATGGCGCTGGCCAGGATGGCGACATGCACCCCAGCACTGGGAGTGAGAGCGACTCCAGCCCCCGGCAGGGAGCCGACCACAGTTGTGAGGGCTGCGACGGGTCCTGCTGCAGCCCCTCCTGTTACAGCACGTCCTGTTACAGTAGCTCGTGCCAAAGCCCTTCCTGCTACAGCCCCTCTTGCTACAGCAGCAACAACCGCTTTGCCAGCCACACGCGCTTCTCCTCTGTGGACAGCGCTAAGATCTCTGAAAGCACAGTCTTCTCTTCGCAAGATGACGAAGAGGAAGAGAACAGTGCGTTCGAGTCGGTACCTGACTCCGTGCAGAGTCCGGAACTAGATCCCGAGTCCACGAATGGGACTGGACCTTGGCAGGATGAACTGGCTGCTCCTGGCGGGAATATGGCCGGAACCACGGAAGGTCTGGAGTCCCCCATGGCAGGTCCGAGCAATAGGAGAGAAGGTTAGACCACAAACCTGGAGCAGTGAGAATAGAACCACCAGTGATAATAACACAGAAGTCTCACCATGTGGTTGGTGGAGAGACCAGTCCCAAATGGGGTTGCCTGGGCAATGTACGTCTGTCTTGGACATGTATGTATGCGGGCATCTAGGTGGATGTGAGTATAGATGTCTATGAATTCTTGGCACACCATGTCCCTGATTCCCACCAAGAAATACTAGTTGGATGTGAGTGTGTATTTGTATGTGCGCTTCTGTGTTTAATAATTACGAGAATGGGTTGGTATATTAGCTTTCTATCAACAGAAACCCCAATGCTAAAACTAACATCAAATAGTATAAGCAATCAAATGATATAGTTCATCATCAGCATTGGGTAATAATGTGTCAATCTACTGACTTCCTCAAACACACTGAAGGTTAGTGATAAATGTGGATATTAGCTGAAAGCATGGATTTTACTTGTTTTAAAATTTAACTGGTCCCATGTGTATGGGTGGCCCACATTATCTTTTTTTTTCTGTCTCCCCAGTTCTTGTTATAATAGTTGATTTTGTTGTGTTGGTCGTGATGGTTATTTTGGCTAGTGGAAAGGAATAATAACATTATTACTACAGTCATTGGGGCCCAAGCCTGGGCCCTTGCAGCCCTAACAAGCTGACTCCACCAATTAAAGACACAGTTAATAGCAAAAAAGGAGATTTATTTAGTGTGGCTACACTGGGAAGAAGAGCAAAGAAGTCCAATGACCCCCCCCCCACCTTCCCAGGTCCATATGGGGGTCTTAACATGAGGTTTGGATTTAAATAGAGGACAAGAGCTGTCCAGAGCTAAGTAGTCTAGGTTAAAGGTTAGTCCACCCATCAGTACTGTCTGGGTTTCTCTATGTCTCCCTTGCAAGGTGGTCTGACAATCGGTCAGGTGAAATCTCTCCCAGAAACTGGTTCCCCCTTTGGATCACACCCAGCCTTAGCCTTTTCCTTCTCACTTGAGATTCTTGGGGAAGGTCCCACTTCTTGGGGTCCCATTGGCTCAGTAGTCTGATAGCCTAAAGGAAGGGGTACAAGTAAGTGTCTCTCTAGAACATCTTTATTCCTGCTAGGACAGTTACAACATGAATGTATAATTTCCTGTTTTAAATGAGATTCTAATCCAAACACTGCCACCCTTAGTGTTAAAATGCATTGTGTGTTTTAACCAAAGATATTACTTCTTCTTAATTGAGCTTGTGAGGTCATACATTAGTAATTTATATTTCCTTATTCAGGATTGGAGCAACCATCTAGTCAAGTGACTGACAGGAGAAATGTGAATTTACATAACAATATGAAATGATTCAATTGTAAAAAAAAAAAGGCAAAACTAGACTGCTATTTTGTATTCTGCTGTTTAAATTAGCTTCTGCACTTCTGTCTAGATTGTGAGTTCATGAAGGGTCAGAAAAATGCCTTTTTTGTGTTTGAATCCTCAGCACTTGAGAAAATGTCTAGTAACTACAAGAAAAAGTTAGCCAAGTATCTAGTGGTGCCAAATTCTACATTTCAAAGAAAGAGGGAATGAAGGGAAATTGGCACACAAAGAGAAGCACAAGGAAGTTGGTAAACCAAAAGAAACGCAGGGAAGTAGGTAAAGCCATGCACACTCCTGAGAGCACCACTGAGCGATTGAGAATCCCTTTCTTGAATGAGGCTTGTTTAAGTACCTGCTTTGTCCTGAGCCCAGGAAGATGAATGAACATCAGCTATCTCATGGAAGGTAGTCTATCCTTCAGCATGATGGGAGACAATTACAAGAGATGGGGACCCTCACATACAGGGCACACAGAGGAACTGGCAGGGTTGTTTCAAACCAGAGGTCAGTATGCTTTTTCTGGAAAGACCAGATAATAAATACATTAGCCTTTGTGGGTCAAGAGGTAAAAGTCACGTAACTGTTCTCACCAAAAGGCTTTTAAAAACATTTAAAGTGTCATATCCATTGTTAGCTCACCATTTTCACCTGTCTGGTATTACTTTGGCACCCACATGATTAACTGATTAATTGAAATTTTTCTAAATAAATTTATATCAAAGAATATTTTATTTTGAATGAAAGACATGGTTCATGCCTTTCCAGCAGGGAAATGTCAGGGCAGTAGTAGAAGTCTTTGCAGAGCATCTTCTGAAGAAATATCTAAATTCCTGACTTTTGCAAACTATACATAAAGGAAGAGTAAGGAACCACTTATGTATTTCACTGTGGTTACAAGGGGAACCATGAGGATTCCTGAGAGGGACTGTTGAGCTCACGTGGGCTGTGCACACACGGCACACAGCTTCTCCACAGCCAAACTTCCCACCTCAGAAGAGAAACCATGAGCTAACTGCATTGTGCACTGTCCCTCACTGACTGTCTGGCTTCACCAGAGCATGTGCTCAAAGGGTCATGCACATGATACATACATGTGTGGGGCCCTCCATTACTATAAGAAACATTTTTACCCCTTACAAATATGTCACTACAGAAACTGCATGAGATTAGCAAGGTAAATTTAGAATGTACATAACCAATAGGGAACTCACAAAAAACTAAAAAGAAATACTGTGTTTTAGAAAACTGTTCATTTCACACAAACCCAAACTGATACCTACCAAAACTTGTATTCCTTATCTAATTCTAGGTTCTTGTCCTTGTATAAAGCTTTTATTTAAAGCTCAATTTAAATTTGCTTTTAAAAACCCTTCTGCAGATGAATGGAAGGAGCAAGATAATGTGGTTGTGAGTTCATACCTTGGAGGCAAGTCAATCATGCCACTTTCTCACTAAAATACCCAACTGGTCTGTTTCTCAGCTTCTTGGTGTGCCAGATCGGTAGAGCTGTAGCGTGGGCCTCAAAGAGTTGTTGGAGGAATTCAGCGAGCTCACACATTAAAGCACTCTACTCGCTAGTGAGAGTTCTTTAGTCAGAGAAGTGGGAAGGTAACTTTTTAAGCTGCATGAGAGAAATCATCCAAAAGAGCCCTTTGAATTTATCCTTCCTGTTCCACGTTAGGCAAGGAAATTTTCAAGCTGTTAGATGCCAATTACTTTGCTTCAAAGAGTATTCTAGGGAAAAACAACAACAACAACAACAACAACAAATAGTATTCTAGATAGTCGATCTCTTTCTACAATTTGGCCATGTTATTTATAATCAGAATAGACTTTTAAAGGACCTCACTTATTTTTAGTCGAGAAATACAATTGGATGTTCTCGCAGATCTAAACACTTCATTTGAAGCAAAGTTAAAAATGTGGAGCTGGGCCCTCGTACAGAACAGAGCTGCTTGCTTCTTAAATGTGCTTCATCCATCCAATCAGCTGACATGTGTCAGTCATATCATCGCATTTTCCTGGAGTTCACAAGCAGATGGGGTGTCCCTCCACCGAGCAACAATATCATATTTCCACACGTTTGCAGGAATAATTACCCTGTTTAGTTGCATTAAGTGTAATGAGGTAAGTTTTTTTAAGAAACAAAAATTAAAATATGACAGTTAATGACATAACATCTGCATAATTGTTTCCTTTTCTAAATTCTAACACTGAACATATATAAAAACAAATATATGTATGATATCCATAAAATCTGTGTTTAAAATAGCCACTTGTCTACAATGAGTGATATGTTCCTTGATTTATATCAGAGTCTTCAAAGGATGAGAGGATTTTAGTAATATACTATGGAGTTTTCACAAGGAATAATGCTATGTTTTAAATATTTAAAAGGACGGTTTTGATCTGAGTACATCTTTATTTTGGGTTGCCAGTTGTCTCTAGGAATTAAACTACTAAACTACTAAACTTAGCCCACCTAACTTCTTTCCTACTAATTTATTTTTTACTGTGTCTATGGAACTCTGATGAAAATAAATAATCATATTTCCATGCATGGACATTCTGGGAAATGTTCACTATTTAAGATCCCACAAAGATCTTGATGATTACTTTTTAGTTTCTCTCCATTTTGAACCAGTGGGTGATAGAACCACAGGCTCTCTGCTTTAGTCATAGAGGGCAAAGGAAAGACAAGATGATTTTGCCCTCTGACTAGTAGAGTGTGACTATGGCATGAAGCAGGATGAAAACAATCTGGATTTGGATAGAAGCTATCTGTGTTCTGGGCACTTGAAAGTCTCAAGAAATTGAGATTAATCAGCTAGTGCTCTTGCTCACATGGTAACTCTACACACCTATGTACCTCATGAAGCAGGAACACAGTATAAGCACTGTCTGTAAAACCTGAGCTACGCATTCTATGGATATAATGTTTATTTCTAAAAATTTCTCCGTATTTGTTCTTTCCTTCTTTCTATCCAAATTTCTCTGTTTCAAACTTTCTTGTTTCAGTCTTCCTTCTTTTACCTACTTCCTTTGTCTAGTGTTCATTGCTCTTTCCAAATCACTTTGGCCAGTCTGAGTCCTCCTCCAAATAATCTGGAATAGTGATGACTTCCTTTAGCACCTTGGCCTCCACACCTTATCTTCTAATTTCTCCGTTATAGGAATTTACTTTCTTGGCCCAAGGGTTCCTTGCCCCGTCTTGGAGAGGTACCAGGAGTTCCAGTCCTCCTCAAAAAATCTGAAAAGCAGACTCTTGGCAGCCTTCTGTTTAAACCCATGATACAACCATCGTATCCATATGATAAGGTGTAATTTTGCATGAACCAACCAAGCTTTCATGAGTCCTTATAAATATTTCACTTTTCAAATAAGCCTGTCTCCTTTACTGGACTAAAACAAGGCCCCTGGTGCTCCTTTGTGATGTCCCCTTCCAACCAAGAAAATTGAAGTGGTTGCACATACATATTGGTCTATATGTGATAAATCAAGAGTGATAAAATATGTGGATTTTTCCTTCGCCTCCTCTTTCTTCCTCTTCTCTTCTCCTTCACCTTCTCTTTCTCTTCTTCTTCCTCTTCCTCTTCTTTTTCTTCTACTTTGTCTTCCTCCTCTTTCTCTTCCTCTTCCTCCTTTTCTTCCTTCCCTCCCTTTTCTTTAATAATTTCTCACGACAAAAATGGCATGGTTCTCATGAACTGATACCAAACTAGATTGTCCATTTTATTTGTTGTTTCTTACAGTGATTTGTTTTACAGTCATGCTTTTTTTATGACATTGCCATAGCAATGAATATGAACGTCTTGACTGTCTTGTTCATAGGTGAATGCCCTATACTCCATAATTCCCAGCCAGTAAGCCAGCTTCCTTCCTTGAGGCCTGAACATCATCACTACCCAACAATCGATGAGCCTCTTCCACCAAGTAAGCTTTAGTTTTTAAAATCTATGACTTAACTCTTCCCATCAAGTGTAAACAGGTCAGTATGGATTCATATACAAGCATCCAAACTCCTTCCCAACTCTATAACTTAACACTTTTGCCAAATATGATACTTACTATTAAAAACTGGAGTTTTCTCTACAAGTTGCTTCAATATATTTTCTTGAGGAGATAACAACCAAATATTTTCCGTTTTTGAGGGGGGAGGGGAAAAAAGAATAGAGAAAATTTCTTTATAAGACTTGACGAGTCCTTGCAAACTGTTTCTGACCTTTCAGCCCCAAATTTATTATTTTTAAATTTGCAAATTGAAATAGGAGAATTCTGTTTTTCTCCAGTTTACTTGTTATTCACAAGCATCTTCACAGAGTACAAGAACTTCAACTCACAGAGTGCCAAGAAATTGTACTTTGCTAGCCATAACTTGCATCTATAGGTAAAAACTCTAAATTTCCGCTATAGTTCTTAGGCATTTCTAGGAAAACTATCATCTTAAGGATAGAATTCTATGTCATAGCTGTACTGTATAACTAATTACTCTCTAGATAGTCGTTTGAGTTTAGGAGATTAATTTCTCATATACCCAGCTTTCTGATTTGTGAAAAACAATGAAAGCTTTAATGTCCTCATCTGCTAAATGCTGAGTTTGGACTAGGTAGTCTCTATATTCAGCTTTAACCTATACAACTCCATTTAATATGTCTTTAAGAAGGAACTGACACCCTAGATGTTATAAATTCATTTACAACAAAATATGTTCATGGATTCCAGAATCTCTCTGTTTTTATTTGGAATTTTTTTCACACAAAGGTAACCTTTAAGATTGAATAGATTATTATAACATCCTTCCACAATTCAAAGAACCAATATTTCTTTCCATTATTTTGCCTTAGCTTACATTAAGCAGTTATAGTTTTCAAAAGGACACATGCTTATTTATGAATTCCTCTGTTCTTGGTAACATGATGTGTTCTATATGAACACTACTTTTTTCCCTATTCAATTTATCAGTAAGGAAGTGATAAACATCTTTAAAATATGCACTATCTTAAAGGATCATCATGTGTAGTTCTCAGAGATCAAGCCAAATATTATCTTCTTTAATTTTTGATGCTTTATGTCTTTCATTTTCATCTATATGTTGATTTGTTGACATGACTCAAATAAAAGAGTAAAAATTTAACATTTTTGTATCTCCTACTTATTATTTATTTTTAAACATATATAATATTTTCATTCTAATAAAAAGCCATTTTCTCACAAGAAATAACCTATGTGTACATGTAGCCCAATCCTTAATCCATATAGTAATAGAGCTCATTATATATGCAGACATTATAAAGAATTTAATATAAATCCACTTTAAAATAACTATTCAGTGTAAACCACTTTCAACAATTAAAAATAGACTCCAAATAGGTTTCAACTGTCAGTCCATATAGCAGTGAAAAGTATTAGAAAAGTTTCCAACGAATCCTTTTAACTGAATTTTCTTTTCTTTTAATATTTTATTTATTATTTTTACTTTATATGTATGAGTGTATTGCCTGCATGTATATAAGTGCACCCGTGTTGTGTAATGCTCATGGAGGTCAGAAAAGGGTGTCGGATGGGAATCGAACCCGGGTCCTCTGCAAGAGCAGTTAGTGCTTTTAACCACTGAGCCATCTCTCCAGCCCCTGACTGAATTTTCTTAAACAATGTCAAATAAAACCTGAGTGACCTCATTACTGGCAGCCATTCATTCATCACATATTTGCTGAATACTTACTCTGTGGTTGGTGCTGTTTTAGGTAAGCAAAATAGACAAGATCCCAGCCCTCATGGAGCATCTATATGCTAATCTGGGAGGTAAATTATAATAAAGAGATATAATAATAAAGGCAAATTATAGTAAATATAGAATCATAAAGAGACTAATATACCATATTAACTGGTGGTATGAGCCATTGAAAAACAAAAGTATCTCAATATAAAGGGTCTTCGAGTATGGCCACTTGTTTGAAATTTTAGAGCAGGCTTCCCTGAGAAAGCAGCACTAGATGAAATTAGAAAGAGACCTACTCCCACAAATGCTAGAAATAAAGCTCTGCAGGCAAAGGGAGAAGGCATAGCAGCGGCCCAGCTGTAAGAGGAGGCACTCTGAAGGGTCTGAAGAACAGGACACCAGGGCATCTGAAGCCATTGAGAAGAGAGAAGGGCAGTAGGTGATGAGATCAAGGGAGAGAGTAGAGACCCAATCATGTGGGGCCTTGTACACCACTTAAGGAGTTTGGCTTTTACTATGAATAAAGGGGCACACTACTGGGCTTGGAGCAGAGAAGTGGTATCATCATATTTGAGTTTTAAAGGGTTTTCCCTAGTTGCTCTCCAGGAAATGAACTGAGGAGGAAGGATAGGCATCTATGAAATACAACATTAGATTACTGCAGTGACCATGATCAGGTGGCAGCAGTGGGGTTGTTAAGGAGTGGTCATATCAGAGCATGTATTTTGAAACACAGGTTTGATGACATATTGGGTATGAAAGTGAGAGAAAGATGGGAATTAAGGTTGTTTCAATCATGTTATAGTTGAGATGTCATTGGGTAGTGATACCAAGAAGGCAATTGGAGGTACATCTGTAAAGTTCAAGGATAAAGTCTATAAACAGGATAGCACATTTGTTAAAATATCTAAATGTACAATCTAACAATAAGTATAATACACATTTAAGTTCTTGATTAACTTCATAGAAAGCCTATAATTCAGTAATTCCTTCCATCACTTCAGTACTCTAGTGTCACCTGCTTCTATGATGGGAAAGATACTTTTTTCAGGTGTCTAAACAAATCCACGGCATCACAGAACTTAATCCTGATCATGCTGAAGCCTAAAGATCCATTTAGAAGTTTTTCTTTGTAAGACATGTGAAATAAATTCTTTACAAAGCAACCCAGAAAACGTATTCATAATCTCTGTTTAACACTTAGCTATTATTTAATAACTATAAGAATATAAAATCAACACCATGCATTTCAGATATTTAATGTATTAATAAAAAAAACTTATCTGTCTGGATTGCTATCTTCTCCATAAGTGATTTGGGCATATTGAAACTTGGTCTAAGAAAGTATCATTATTGCTGTTCCATTCTCATTGTTTTCCTTGGGCAATTTGTAGGGCTATTGCTTTTCTGTGGAGAAGTCCTTGCTTTACTGTGGGGCAGGGATCTGTGTTATTCCACTCTATGCCCCTAGGACCTGGAACAGTTTATAGTTTATAGTTTATAGCAAGTGCTGAGAGAGACTTGCTTGTTGAATTAAATATCACAGTGCTATTGAACATTAACCCTTATTCTTTGACAATCATGTTGGGTTCAAGAAAAATAGTAACTTTTCTAAGGTTAGTTTGAGAATGACTGAAATTTTTAAATATTTGAATAAAGATTACTTATGAAGTAACACAATTACAGATACATAGTTTTATCAATATGCTATTTATTTTTCTAATAGTTGATAGCTAGACTATCTAAATGTCTATTTTAGGGAAAACTTAAAAGATATTTCTATAATTCAACTACATTTTTCCTTCAGTTTACTATATACATTCACTTCAGAATGTTCTGATATTTGGATTTTCATTGGGCATAAGCAATCCTCTGGAGCAGACATGCACTTCCAAATAAATACGCATGTACATTTAAAACCATAAATATGCCAAATTTATTTTCCATTTAAAAATTGAGAGTTGCTATGTCATTACCTGAATCATGAGTTCTCAAGATAACTTTTAATATTTGACCTACTCCAAAAGCTGTGGCTTTTCTCACTTAAAAGACTAAAAGGGCTGGTGAAATGGCTCGGAGGTCAAGAGCACTGGCTGCTCTTGCTGAAGTCCTGCGTTTGAATCTCAGCACCCACATGGCAGCTAACAGCTGTGCATAGACCCAGTTCCAGGAGATCCAACGCCCTCTTCTGACCTCCATGGGCATTTCATGACATGAGTACACTTTCATACATGCAGGCAATACACTCATACACATAATATAAAAATTATTAAATCAAGAAAAGACTGAATAGGTTTCTGCCTTTTGCTATTTTCTTTAGAAGACTTAGTATTTCTTTAGCATTTTCAACATAACATCTATTGCTGCCATTTCCACCACATTTTTATATGTGGACTGTGGAAGTTTTTGCCTATAACTGTGCATCAGAACTTGATGTTACATGGCTAGATCACATATGCACATCATTACTTCCAGAACTTTCTGTTTCAAAGGACTTTTTTCATTCATTTCATCTCACCTCAGACCTGCATGTGTTGCATCACCTATGCTTCTGCTTGGGCTCCCTCTACTGTTTGTGATAGTTAGATTGCAACAAAGGTTACTTGAAAGATTGATGTTTGTCAGGATTTATATTGGGTTTGGTTTCAGCAGCTAGCCACAGGTAGGTTTAATATATACTGTGAATTTTCATTTGATCAAAAGGATATTCTGAAACTCTAGGTATCAAATTCTCCCATTTGACCTCTCAAAAGGAATGGCAATCACTTAAGCTTGCTCAGTACTAGAAAGAAGTTGTCTAAAGTCGCAGGTACAATGTTTCAAGACTAAAGTTGAAACTGGTTTAAATGTGAGGTCCATTGTCATAGAACCTACCTAGTCACCATCTTTAGATTTAGTGAAGAAAGGGTTCTTCAGCATCACAGCACTAATCTACTGCAACCATCTCTTAAATAACCAGAAAGATTTTTAAAGAAATAAACAGATTTTCTTTAGAAATTATTAGAATTTCACCCTATGTCACAGTCAAGAAAGCGCAATTACAACAGCACAGTAGAGAGTCTGAGTGTGTTAAGCTCCTTTCTAGGACGCTGATTCCATGTCCCCACCCAGAAGTCATGGCAGGTGCTAGGGGGCCACAGAAGGGGGTGTCCAGCCCTCAACAATGAATCATGGTAAGTTCTATCTTCAGAAGACCTGAGAGTGGAATCTGTCCACATGGATCAGGAGTCTGTGCTTGATTTTTTCTTTTTGTCTTTTTATTAAACACTAGACTGGGAAGCTCGAATTGACAGCCACGGGAGGGTCTTTTATGTGGACCATATAAACCGCACAACCACCTGGCAGCGACCAACTGCAGCAGCTACCCCAGATGGAATGCGAAGATCCGGGTCTATCCAGCAGATGGAACAGCTTAACAGGCGGTTGGTGATCAGTGTGGAGTGCCCCCCCCCAAGCCTCAGCAAAAGAAGTATAGCCAAGGCGCTCATTCCTCTTGTGCTTTTCTGCTCAGTATGAGGAGGTTGAACAAAATTAATTATCTTAAGAAACCTGTTCCCAGTAAGTAATTAGAAGGCTAGGTTTAGCAGTCAGTGACAGGAAGTGAGTTAAGCTTGGGCATCATTTAAAGATAGGGATTCCTCTGATTTTCTTACTGGCCCAGGCTGGTAAGCAGGAATTCTTAATTATGGCCCCATCCGCCAGGGTACTCACCACAAATGCTAGAATCTCCATGAACCCTCAAAAAATTATACATGCAAGCACATTTTTCAAAGACACAGAGCTCAAAATAATTAACATTATAAAGATGTTTCTATAATAATACAAAATATCCTTACGAGAGAAACCTACTGCCTCATAAGTCACTGCAGATTTCTGCCACATCCCATGAATCACTGTATAGCTATAAACAGTAATTCTCCACAAGTTCAAAAGTCTTCATCCTATAAAAAGAAATACCTAAAAATATGTTTTTGAAACAGCTTATGGTGGCTCACTTGTATAATCCCAGTTACTTGGGAGGCTGAGGCAGGAGGAGCTCAAGATCAAGGCCAGCTTGAATCAAGACCCAATGAGAAAGATTCTTCCAGAATCCTTTTGATTAAAACTAGACCCTCACTACTGAACTTATAAGGATGCTATTCTGCTATTTGGGATGGTGTGTCACTCCTGCTTTATGCTTCAAGCTGGCATCATCTCCACCCTCTTATTCTTTAAAGACAGAGCTCTCTCTGTCTGCATCTGCAGGGCAGTTTTTGTTGCCAGGAAGCAAGCTTTAGTTGTCCTTCAGTTGTAACTGCATCTGCATCCTGTCTTATGTTTCAAGTACCAAGTTAAAGAAAAAGTTGAGAGGGACTGAAAAGAAAACAAGAATTGAGTTGGGGATACCTATTAATAGCAAAGACCTTTGAAATTTAATTGCATCTGCCATTAAAAAGCAGATGTTTTGTCCTGTTGAAAACACAGAACATGTGATGTGCAAGAAAAAGGGGTATCGTTGGAGTGGAAGGTTTTAAGTGAACGTGGGGCAGGAAGACACGGAAAGTAAGGAGTGGTAAGGACTCAGGGAAAGGGTCAAACAACTAGGTGTGTATGAGACTGTCATAAAGAAGCCTACTGTGTAGGGCAGTTGAAAGATAAAAACAACAGGGGCCTGGAGAAAAGGCTCTGCAGTTAAGGGAGCTTCCTAATCTTCCAGAGGACCATAATTCAGTCCCCAGCACCCAAATCAGTGTCAAAACTGTATAACTCCAAATCTAGAGGATCTCCTCAGGCACCCACACATGTGTCACATGTTGCATACACTCACACAGACATAGATACATACATGCATGTGCATACACACATACATACATAAAAATAAGAAATCCTTAAAATTTACTTCGTAGGTAAAAATATTTCTTTATTATTTATTTAATAGAGTAAAATATAGGGGGTCTGGAGAGATGGCTCAGCAGTTAAGAACACTGACTGTTCTTGCAGAAGACCTGGGTTCGAATCCCAGCACCCACATGGCAGCTAACAGCTGTCTGAAACTCCAGTTCCAGGGGATCTGACAGCTTCTTCTGTCTTCCATGGGCATTGCATGACACGGGTGCACTTACCTACATGCAGGCAATACACACATACACATAAAATTTTAAAAAATAAATAAAATAAATAAAATAAAAATAGGTAGCTGAGGAGATGCCTCAATCAGTAATGTACTTACAGTATAAACATCAGGACCAGAGTCCAGATTCTTAGCATGCTCATGTAATCCCAGATCAAAGGAGGCAGAATCAGGAAGTTCCCTGGGGTTTGTTGGGCAGCTAGTCTAGATGAATCAGTGAGCTCCAGGTTCAGTGAGAGACCCTGTCCCAAAAATAAGGTAGAAGCCAGGCATGGTGGCACACACCTTTAGTCCCAGCACTCAGGAAGCAGAGGTGGATCTCTGTGAATTCAAAGCCAGCCTGGTCTACATAGAAAGTTCCAGGCCAGCTGGGGCTACAGGGCCTGTCTCAAAAAAGACCAAAAAAAAAAAAAAAAAAAAAACGTAGCACGCAATTGAGGAACACTCTCAGATGTTAGCCTCTAGCTTCCACATGCACATATGTACACCCACATGTGCACACATACACACACACACACACACACACACACAGAGTCACACATGCACAATCAATTGAAAGTTGAACTTCTGGTTATAGAGGAGTGTGCGCTAGGGAAAAGTCAGTAGAGCATGCTTTTATTTCTTGAGTATTTAGAAGCCATTTGCCTTCCATTTTTCCATCAGTGGCTGAATATTTGTGTCATTCATGAAAACCATAAAGGATTTTCCTTTACAGCCTATTTCTCTACAATCATTCCCACAGAAACAAAGCATATTGCAAGAAAGAAGTTACGACAACCTAGTTTCATTAGACATGAGTGCACCAAAAGTCTACAGGATAGCATTTCTCTGTTGCAAGTCCATGGGCAGGAACTAGCCTCTACAGCTGTCTTGCCAGAGAGAGGAGCAGAACTAAAGTGTCCAGGCACACCTCTAATGGGTGCCACTTGGACACAAAGTCATGAGCAAATCATAAATCAAATCCACAAAACAGTAAATTTAAAAAAGGAAATATCTAGACTTCTGGCATAAAATTTCATGTAAATTCATGGTGTTTAGGATGTATAAGATTAAAATTAGGGAGCTAGAGAGATTGCTCAGTGGTTAAGAACACTTGGTGCTCTTACAGAGGAGCTGGGTTCCATTCCCAGCACCCACATGGCAGCTCACTACTGTCTGTAACTCCAGTTCCAGGGGATCCAAAACCCTCTCCTGGCCTCTGTAGGCACTGTATGCACATGGTGCATATACATATATGTAGGCAAAACATACATGCACATGAAGTAAAAATAAAGAAGTCTCTAAGAAAAAAATATAAAAATGAGTCCAAATCAGGGGCTGGAGAGATGGCTCAGTGGTTAAGAGCACTGGCTGTTCTTGCAGAAGACCTGGGTTCAAATCCCAGCACCCACATGGTGACTAACAACCATCCATAACTCCAGTTTCAGGGAATCTGATGCTCTCTTCTGTCCTCCATGGGCATTGCACAACAAGGTGCACTTACACACCTGCAGGCATAATACTCATACACATAAAATAAAAACAAATAAATAAATAAAAATGAATCCAAATTCATCTAGAACCAAACCTGAGCCCTCCTGTGGTGCCAATTATACTGGGATAGGCAGCCAGCGAACTTCTCTTGAGATTGATGAGCAGATAAAGAAAAATAGAATTTTGTGATTTTTAGAAAATGCTGATTTCCTGTGATAAAACCTACTTACAGAAATTCAAGTAAGTATCCATGCTTTTAAATAAGTCTTCGTTATTTTCAAATATTTAAAGTTTTCTGTGATTCGGCATTAAGCAGTCACAAAAAGTACACTAGGTATGTGCCTCCTGTGTAATCACACACAGGGGGGCATTTTCTGATAACTTGCAGTTAGCCTGAGAAATTTACAAAAATTGATGCCTCATTAAAAAAAATGGAAATCCTTGTTAGTGCTGTGGGGAAAAAATGGAAATCCTTGTTAGTGCTGTGGGGAGGAGTTTTCCTGACTTCCCACTGGATTAGTATTAAGACTGAAGCAACAAGACACACACCCTGGGAAATGCGGAGTGTCTATAGTAGCCATGCTCAAACTCAGCCACTCACAGACACATATTCTTCCAGGTCTTAATGGCTCCACCGCTTGTTCCTGCTCCAGGAGCATCTCCTCCCTGCCTAGCTCCTACTTGAAATATGAAGACTGTCTTAGAGTGTTCCCTTGGGTTCTGTTCCCCAAGCAGCAGGTAGAGGGAAATAAGCAGGGCTTTGCTATTTGGAATCAAGGCCTGATTTTTTTAGCAGTGTGACTGTAAGTTTCACTCTACCAACAATAGCTTTACTCCCATCTCATCTTTTGGTCTGTTTTTGCTGATTCAGATGTTTCTGGAATTTTGGAATTGCTTATACTTTGCTTCTTACAGGATCAACTTTTTGCCATAATATTTTAAGAATTCTTTAACTCCCACGTGAATGTTCTGTTCAAGGGCTTTGTTTGGTTGGTTGGTTGATTATGATTAGCAGGTTTAGCATGGTTATGGAAGGTTTTGATTTTTTTGTTTGTATATTTATTTACATGTATGTGTGGTCAATGACAAATTACATATTTCAGCTGACTTTCTTATCAATGCTCATGAGCCTTTTATACACCATAATCTTTTTTTTCTTTTTTCTTTTTTTTATTTTATGTGTATGCGTGTATAGCCTGCATGTAGGTAAGTGCATCCATGTCATGCAATGCCCTTGGAGGACAGAAGAGGCTGTCAGACCCCTGGAACTGGAGTTACAGACAGTTGTTAGCTGCCATGTGGGTGCTGGGATTAGAACCTGGGTCTTCTGTAAGAACAACCAGTATTCTTAACCGCTGAGCCATCTCTCCAGCCCCATACACCATAATCTTTTGCTGCAAAAACAAAACAAGTAGAAGAGCCATTAACAAATAATTCCTGGTGAAACAGAAAAGAAGAGACTTTCTTTGTGATTTCTTCAGTCTGAGCTCCCTCACAGCTACTGGGTCCCATCACAAAACTATGACTTATACTATATTCATCCCCCCAAGAGGAAGAAATTTTGATTCTATATCATAAAAAGACAGTGGAAGAGCATGTGGGTCTTAAAAGATTCTTGAGCTATGATCTGCCATAAGGGACTAGGGTATTGTACCAATAGCAGCTTCTGCAGTCTTTGGCAAGCCTCAGCACCCACTTAAGGTTGGAAGCTCAGGCAGTTTCTCACTGATCACTCTGCCCTCCTGCCCTGTGTGTTCCCCAAGTTCTAGCGAGGAGATCACTGAGGGTGAACTTATACCCTCTCACAACCTCCCTGTCACAGAAAGGCAATAAATGTTTCCCTCAGGATCACTGTGCACATTCCACTCCCCTCCAGACACTGTTATGTGAGACCCTCTCAGGAAATGCTTCACAGTCACTGCTACAAGTAAAAGTGTCTTCTGACAGGTGTCAGAAGTGAGTGATGGCATGTCTCTAGATAAAATAAAACCCAAAGAGATTCTTTAGGGGGGCTGGGGAGATGGCTCAGCAGTTAAGAGCACTGGCTACTCTTGCAGAGGACCCAGGTTCAATTCCCAGCACCCACATGGCAGCTAACAACCATCTGTAACTCCAGTTGCAGGGGCTCAGTCACCCTCTTCTGCCCTCCATGGACACTGCATGACATGGGTACACTTACATATATGCAGGCATAACACTCATATATATAAAATAAAAATAAATAAATCCAAAAAAAGAGAGATCCTTAACGCTAGTGATTCCCAACATAGACATACAGAACAATATCTGAAGAGCTTTGTAGAAGCACAGATTTCAATTTTGTTTCAGTTTGTGTAATTTTGACAATCACTCTTGCAAGCAGGTTAGAGACCACGGTGGAAAACTCTGCTTTTAATGTCAGGGAAAGAACAGGGAAGTCTCCCCTTCAGGAGCCTTCTGCAGTAGAATCTGTCCATGCAGCTCTGGATGCACTCCTTGTTCGATCTTGGATTGCACTTGGAGATGTGCTAATTTACTGTTGTCTGGACTCTTCCCCCGCCCAGTTCCATGCCATTCCCCATCCCTTTTTTGAACACAAGACCTATATAAGCAATACATCCTTAGATATCACAACTGGCATGAGCTTACAGACTTTCAAACCAACATTTTTAACTCCAACCAACAGCTCCCCTTCCCATCCCACTATCCTCCCATGTCTTTAAGTCCTTTGGAATAGAGTTTTCTAGCTACCTGGTCAAAAAATCTGGTGGTGTGTGTGTGTGTGTGTGTGTGTGTGTGTGTGTGTGTGGTATATATGCCTGTGCATATGTTTGTGTCTATGTGGAGGCCAGAGGCTTCTAGCTACCTGGTCAAAAAATCTGGTGGTGTGTGTGTGTGTGTGTGTGTGTGTGTGTGTGTGTGTTTGAGACAGGGTCTCCCTGTAGCTGCAGCTGTCCTGGAACTCACTATGTAGAAGAGGCTGGCTTTGAACTCACAGAGATCCGCCTGCCTCTGCCTCCCAAGTGCTAGGATTAAAGACGTGCGCCACCATGCCCAGCTACTCTTACTGCTTCTTTTGGCTATCTTATGAAAATTTCAGACATTTTTATTATGACTTCAAAACAATTTATTTTTATAGAGCTCTCCAAGTACCTGATTCAGAGCATTAGACTCCAACAAGCAAACAAACAAAAGTTAATTCCTGTCTTTCCATTTTCTAATGCACACACAGGTATCAAAACATTCAGAGAACCATCGCAACAGAGAGACCTGAAGATGATTCCAGCAGCCAAAGCTGTGAGCAAGTTCCAGCAGGAGGAGGTGGAGGTGGAGGGAGTGACTCAGAGGCAGAGTCTTCTCAATCAAGCTTAGGTATTGGTGGAGGGGACCCCAGAACACTGGAGATGGCACCCTGTGGCAGTGACAGAACTGTACGAGCCTCATGGATAGTGGTGTGCCCCATAGAGAAGATAGCAACAAAGGAGGAGGAGGGTCAGTTTAGAGGAGAGAGAAGCATGGTGCCCACAGGATAAAGGAGACAACAAAGCTTCCCACGAGGAATGGGAGACAGAATGAGTACTCACATGTTATTAAGTAATGTGTTTGTGTTTGTCCTAAGGATATCCCACTTATAAATAAAACATATTAAGAATTCACAATCCATTTCAAATCTACTTCAAAGGAATCATGTATATTTAACATAAAACTCAGTTCACCCAACGAGGAATCTGGGGACAAAGAGGTTTTCTGGTGTACTTCTGGTTGTGTGCACAGTCCGTGAGCGTACTCTTACCATCTATCAGACCCTTATTTTCCTTTCTTTGAATCTAGCCTGGTTGAAATGTCAACAATGATATTTAAAAGGCATGAAACTGGCTTCCACATTTTATAACCATAACAATGTATAACATGACCATAGTGGCATCCCAGCAACCCACTTTTTCTTGGAAATGGGTTCAATAGTGTCACAGTCTCCAAAAGGCTCAGAGACAGTTTAGACAAACAGGTATTGTAATTCCCATTATGCCAGGATTCAGACAACTATGGCAACATAGATATTAGACATTTTATGTGGTTTCTTTTACATTTTTTTGTTTAAAAGTTTCATACATTTATAGAATGAATTTTAGTCATTTTCATCCCCCACTCCCTGCTCTCATCACCCTCTCTCTCCCACTTGGATCCTTCACAACAGATCCCCACCCTCTACTTTAGTGTCTTCTTTTTATGTATGATCCACTGAGTTTAATTAGTTTCTTGCCTGAGTATAGGTGGGAGGTTATTTACTGGAGGACAGGCAATATATCAGTGGTTACACCACTGAAAAAAATAACATAATACCCCCTTCCCCAACAAATGTTAACTGCCAAGAGTCCCGGGGCAGGGGCTGCCTTGGGATACTCTCTGTGATGAAATGATGAGCCCAGTCTTGTGCTGGTCTTATGCAGATAACCATAGCTGTAGTGAGTCCTTGAGTGCAATGACCATTTCGTATCTAGAAGACATCTTTCTGTAGCCTACTCTCTCTCTCTCTTATATTCTTAAATGTACACACACACAGTTCCACCAAGAATTTTAATTGACTACATTCTGTTTACTTTATCAAATGTACTAACAAGGCTGGATTAGGTTCCTCTATTGCTAATTTCTTTGTTCAGTCTTCTGAGAGACACAGTGTACAACAATCAAGTAATTAGAAACAGGATGAGAGAAGGTTCACAGAACTTTTTCTGAGTTTGGTATTGGATCACGTGTAATTTCCCATGTAACAAAATATCCTCACATTTAATGGCTAAATCTCTGAGCTGTGCACTGATCCCACAGATCTGCAGGTGATCAATGAGAGCTGAATTAAGCCAGGAGGTTGCTAGAGTCGTACACGGCTTTGGTCAACTGTTGTATTGGCTGTGGTCTGGCTGATTGAGATAGTCTCAGTTGGGTGATTTGTCCCTGTTTCCTGTGACTTGTTCTCATTATGAAATTAGGGACAGCAGAGAGACACACAAACTGCTAGAAACCTCACTCGGGACTGGCATATTGCTTCTGCCTCATTGAGCTGGATGAAACAAAGCCCAAGGTCAGCCAGCTCCGGTTCAACAAGGGGAAGCAGAAAAGTTCAATGCAGAGAAGCAGGACACTAAGAGGGGAAATGCTGACCTCTTCTATAAACTATCTTAACTATGGGTTAGCCATCCATAACAAAAAGAAGAGAGTCATCAAGATAAAAGAGAGGACGTATTTGAGGACTTGAACCTGGTTTAGACTATACAAGAACCCTACTGAGAAATGATTCCTAACCAACATAAAAACTCAAATTTTTAAAAACTCAAAATCTTTCAAAAAAGTATTTTGTGTGCCAACATAATACCACAAAAGGAAAAGTCCACACCATAAAATTTAACTGTTTAAAAATATTGTATAAACCAGGTATGATGGCACAAACTTTTAATCTTAGCACTTAGAAGGCTGAGACAGGAGGATCATGACTTTGAAGCCAGGCTGGGCATGTAAGAGTGTCTCAAAAAGAAATTTGTATAAAATTACCTCTAGGCTATGTATATCGGGTATAAATTAAAGGTACAAGAATTTCATGTTCAGACATGGGTCTAATCTCTATAATATCTCACCATGTATTGGTATATTCCAGAATTTGAAAAAAAAATTGAAGCATGTTTCTGGTCTTAATCATTTTGGATGCTGAATACTTGATCTGTGTGACATCTAGACATATCACCATAAAAAGCAGAAATCTGGGGGCTGGAGAAATGGCTCAACAATTAAGAGCACTGGCTGCTCTTGCAGAAGACCTGGGTTTGATTCCTAGCACCCACATGGCAGCTAACAACTGTCTGTAACTCCAGTTTCAGGGGAATCCAACACCCTCTTCTGAACTCTGAGGGTATTGTGTGGCACAAGTGCACTTACACACATGCAGGCAATATACTCATACATATATAATTAAAATAATAATAAATATTTTTAAAAAGAAAAGCAGAAATTTATGTGAGGGGAGGCTGTATGCTGCTACTCTGGAAAGATAAGAACGCAGCTTAAAGGACTTGTTTCCCCAATGTATTCCATTGCTTTGCTTCACTTTTTCCAGATCTGAGGAGAGAGGGGTCACTTTCTCCAGTCAACTCACAAAAAATCACCTTGCTGCTACAGTCCCCAGCGGTCAAGTTCATCACCAATCCTGAATTCTTCACTGTGTTGCATGCTAATTATGTAAGTGTCCCCCAAACAGAGGGAGGCTGATCTGGCTACATCAAAACCCCAAATAAGCTTTATGTAGTCATTTTAATGAAATTAAAAGACTAGAATTAGGGATGAGGTGGCCAAGTGGTTAAGGTGATGGACTGCTAAAAGACTAGAATTTTTCTTTGTGAGGGTGGGGAAAAAGAGAAAAATATGAAAGGCAACTCGAGCTGCTCTCACTGTTTATCTCCCAGAAAAGAAGGCAGGATTTGAAAATGCTGTTGCCTTTCTAAGGCTTTTCTTAGGATGTCAGAGAAAATTCTTGGAAACAATAGACATTATTTTTACTAGTCTTAAAATCTTAAAAGAGCAAGAGCACAAAGTGACCAAATACTCTTCAGCCTAAACCATTTTGTGAAATTTTAGACAGGCTTCAAATAGATAAATAGCTACATTTCTTTTTTTCACATAACTGAAACAGAAGCCAGAAGCAGAGGCGGTTTATTATAAGGAAACAGGATTATCTCATGGTACCCAAGGTCCAGAAGCAAGAGACCGGGGTGGGAGGACTAGAAGGAAAAATTAGGCTGAGCGTCTCTTTCTATGGCTTTTTTTGGCTTTGCTTGCGTGTCAGCCTCTGCCTTACCACACACCTCCTTGTCCTTGTTTCCGGCACAGTCTGTCCAGCACAGGCACGATTTCCAAATTTATGCTCTGCAGTGGACCTTGCCTGTGTTTGCTTTGGATGTGACAATTTTTTTTCTCTTTTTCCATTTGTCTTTCTTCTTTTATTTGACAGTGACAGAGATTGAACCCAGGGTCTTGTGCGTGCTAATCAAACACTCTACCTCTGAGCTACATCCCTATATATACAAATTAATTTTTTGAAGTTTTATTAAAAATTATACAGTTTAGGGGCTGGAGAGATGGCACAGTGGTTAAGAGTACTGACTGCTCTTGCAGAGGACCCGGGTTCGATTCCCAGCACCCACATGGCAGCTATGAACCATCCTTGAGTCCAGTTCCAGGGGAATCTAATGCCCTCTTCTGACATCCACAGCATTGCACAACATGGGTGCACTCACATACATGCAGGCAATACACTCATACACATAAAATAAAAATAATAAATTTTTTTAATTAGACAGTTTGTAGCAAAATGAAAAATAGTCACCAAGAACAATAATGGCATTATCTTAATGGGTATAGCCAACAAATCAGTGTCTGATCATGTCCAGTTCCCACTGCATTATTGATCAAGGGAATCAAAAAGGAAGCCCAACTTCCACAACCACTCCTAAGATGAACAATACTAATTAGATTCCTATGCAATGCACAAATGATTCCTATTACTTCAATATGCATAAAATTGGGTACATACATCCACCATGGAAAAAGGACAAAATCTCTATTCATTTTCTTTTCAAATTGCCCTTGTTCTCAAATCTACATAGTATAGTGTGCCCACAACATGCTTTGGACACGGTTTTTGAAAATATTATGGTGACATTAAGTGTGATTTGATTTCATAAATATACCTTTTTCATTGAATGTTTGGAAACATTTTCCGAAAAGCAGTGACATGATATGATATTCATTAATTTTTCCATTCAACAAACATCTTCTGCAATTTGTGCACATATCTAGATACTTGAATCACAAAGACAGATCAAGGAGACACCTATGAGGAAGATTCTTGTTTTGTGGACACGCAATGTGTACAGACCACCAGTCAAACATAACAGGACAGAGCCCAAAGTGAGGGAAGGCAGAGTGTGTGGGAGACGTGAGACCAAAGGCAAAGGCTATATTGAGTCGTGGAGGTTGAAAGGAAGTGGGAGGAGGGCCAGGCCAAGAGGCAATGTGTTAGGAAGGACACAGCTGCCAAGGTTACAGTGTGGCTGCAGGGTGGGGAAGACAGGAAAGAAATGCTGATGACTCAGCTGGAAACGCTGGCAAACTATACAAAGGCACCTGTTCTACTGCAGTGGGCCGCAGGAGCCCACAGCGGTCTTGGAAACTGGCTTCAGTGACTAAGTACTTTGATAAAGCAATTTCTCTGGCAGAATCTCAGAGAGATAGTGAGGGGTCTGAGACTAGTGATATGTTTGTGTGTGGTGCCTATGTATCATAAAATTATGATTTGATTCATTTAGGAATTCCTAGAACTTCCTTTGTTTTTCTCATTCCCTCTCCCTAAGACATTATATACAATTCACAAGAAAGACAGGGCCTCTGAATTCCAGCCTCGAGGCTCCAGTGACCCTGAATCACTGCCATGTGTCAGATATAGATAAGAGCATAAGATGATGCATGTGCAGTCAGAGAAGGGAATCGGGAGCAATGCCCAGAGACAAAGTGTGGCTGAGACTAGGGAGGAGGCACAGAAGGGAAGGTGTCCAAGGCCTCTGAGAAGCCAGGTAGGACTGCTATGAAAAACAAGCCTATGTTTGCTGACAGTACTACTTCTTTTCTGAGAAGTCTGCTCCTAAAGCCTCCATTTCAAGCCCACACAAATCACTCTAGTGCAATCATACTGTACCGTGTTAAAGCACTTGCCGTGTGTTTACTCTGTTTCCTAATTTCACATTTTATGCTCTCATCTGCCCTGTCCTGCCCCCAGAGTGCCTACCGGGTCTTCACAAGCAGTACTTGCTTGAAGCACATGATTCTGAAAGTCCGACGAGATGCTCGAAACTTTGAACGCTACCAGCACAACCGGGACTTGGTGAATTTCATCAATATGTTTGCAGACACTCGACTGGAACTGCCCCGGGGCTGGGAAATCAAAACTGACCAGCAGGGAAAGGTGAGGGTAATTAACAGGTGGGCCTTTCACCAAATGCTCTGGGTCACCAAGGAAGGAGACTGGGAAGAAACTGAGAAGACTGTGGGGAAGAAAGCTCCTGTCTCAGATGCAATATTGGCTCCTGGGAAGAAGTGAGGCAGGGTCTGTCCGTATCAGGTTTCTTACTCTTGGAGGGAAGTTGAGCTGGGGTCACAGACTATGCATTGTGGAATATTTAGCTGCATCCTTAGCCTCTGCCTTCTTGACGCCAAGTTGTAATATTGCAATGTCCCTTAAACATGCTTGATTGAGGACTGCTCCCTACTTTACCTCTTTTGAATTTTCCATTCAGTGTTTCTGTTCAATGGCCTGTCTATTGCATTGCCTCCTTAGACAGCTAACTTCCAGGGACTAGTTACTATTGGTTAACTGAGAGTGACATTATTACATTGTGATTTCCCTAACAAGCCTTCACTTGTCCTTAGAACAGCATGCCCAACAGAGATGGGATTTTTAGGTCCCATGTAATGTTTCTGGCCTGTATTTTGTCTGATGACCTCAACTTGAATGGCCTTTCCTAGACATGGTTCGGAGAAGCCCAGCATGTCTGCTAGAGTGAAAATGTTTTCTTAATCATCACATCACCTCAGTGTATTTATAAGAGACCAATTAGTTTACTAAAGGATTGTCCCTATAAAGATCTCTTACGAACTTTGCTAGAAAAAATCTCCCCCTTTCTTATGATCAAAAGAAGCAGAATCTTTGGCATCAAACATATGGTTGAGTGGGAAGCTGCATTGCACAGTTCTTTGCCACTGTGACCATGGACCTGCACATCCATAGTTCTCCAAAAGGAGCTGATAGGACAATATCCCCTGGGGCCTACAAATCTCTTTCCCACATAGTGTGCCTAAGAAGACGGTCTCTCTAGAGTGTGAGCAAAGAATGTAAGTTCATTGGTGAAGTTGATGTCTAGGACCAGCAACTCTGGAGCCAACGATGAATTGCAGTAAGTGTAACACAAAAGTCACTGTGGCCAGAAACTACTGCCTAAACCCTTCCTGTCCACTGCCTGTGACCACAGTATTGGGTTTTTTGGGGTTTTGTTTTTTGTTTGGGGGGTTTTTTTTTGTTGTTGTTGTTGTTCTTTTTGAAACAGGGTCTCCCTGTAGCCCCAGCTGGCCTGGAACTCACTATGTAGACCAGGCTGGCCTAGAACTCACAGAGATCCACCTGCCTCTGCCTCCCAAGTGCTGGGACTACAGGCATGCACCACCACACCCGGCAGAACCACAGTATTGTGAGGACTTCAGATATAGGTGGGGAATGAAGCCCGAGCCAGAACAGAAAGTAAAGGAGCATCTTGTCAAAATTAGATGCATGTACCTCATCCCATGGCCTTCAGTAGCCACGCTCTCATGCGTTGCTTAATCAGTATGCCAAGAGGACACTGCTGTGAATGAGCTGCTATGAACAAAGCAGTGCTTCTTGGACAACCAGCACATACTCCTATGAACAATGTGCTTAGCCTTGGATTCCCACGACAGCTGTTTTTGCACCAACAGTAGGAAGCAGTAGACTGACAGGGAGGCCTGCAAATGTATCAAGCTCTGACCCTTCATTTCGTCATCTCTACAGCAAATGGTACTGTCACATCCTGGTCCTCAAGTGTATAGAGAACACCATGGCTGAGATACAAAGTTTCATTCCAGTTTGGAATGCCTCATAGGAATTTTCTGACATGAGACTTTCTTCCTCTCCATTTCTGATTGGTAAAATATCATCCACAAAAAATACTAATTTAAAATGAGAAAGCTTTCAGTCTTGATACAAACTAGCTATGTGACTGTACACACAAATGCACAAATGATCTCACCAATTGCTTATTAATTGAATATGCATTGAATTAGACAGAATTCCTGGGTCACTGCTGGAATTTCAGCCTTAAACTTGAAATGCATTATTACAGTCTGTAGGATGAGTCAGAAAAAAACATTAGAGGTTGGTAGAATAGAATGGGTGCCAGGGCCCACCTATAAAGACTGGTTTGATTCATCTAGAACACATCACCCTGGCCAGTCACTTTACCTCTCTGGGTCTTACTTTTTCTTATCACAACACGGTGATAGCATGCCTGCCTTGCCTTCATGATATTATAACCAGATGAAAATGATAAATAAGTTAATGCAAGGATAAATGGTAATACTATGGCAGATTTGTAGCATCTGCCATTCTGCCTCTTAATGCAGAAGAGGAGTAAATGCATCCATCAAAGGGAAAAACCTCAGAGAGTAATAAAAGAACACCTCCTTGCCAGAGCCCATAAAAGATGGAAATCAAGAGAAAACTATTTCTGGACCAAATCCTATAAGCTTAGCTCTGTAACCTAGAAAGAATGTGCTGTATAGGAGACTAGGAACCCAAAGTTGGAGTGATGTAGCTCATAGCTCACTGTATAAGAGCTGCCTTCATGACTGGCTGGACCAGCTTCCTTCTACAACTCTGAATTGTTCTTGCATACCTCATCCTGGCCAAGTTGTTTTCTAGCTTTATCTAAATGTTCAGAAATGACAGTCTTTAATTTTTAATGCACCACGACAGGAAGCAGAGGATCTAGGGCAGAGCAGTTGGGTATATTTGAATGAATGGCAATCTCCTCAAACTAAAACGGAAAGAGCCCAGAGCTGTGACATTGCTAGACTATAGCAAGGACTAAAATAGTCTAACTCATTTGTCAACTTGGAAGTATGAGAAAGGACACAACCTCCCACAGGACTTGAGTAGAGAACAACCATGAGCCTCACAGCTGGCCTGAGCAAAGGGGCCACTCACCATCTAGGGAGGCACTGGGGCTTCAGGCTGTAGTACCGTGCCACAGAGTAGGCATGAAACTGGAGTGGATTCCACAGAGGAAGCTTATAAAAGCACATACATAAATAATTCAGAAAGTTTAAAAAGAAAAGACAATATAATATGAAAACAATGACAGAAAGGTCAATGGTAATGAATAGTTCAAATTCATAATCTAATGATTATTAAATAAGGTCAGAGAAAATTTTATATTCATAAATGATACAAATAAAGGTTCAATACAGTCATATGTGGTCGCACATACCTTTAATTCCAGGGCTCCAGACACTGAACAGGAGGATTATTAGTTTAAGCCTACCCTAGGCTGCAGAGCCAGACCCCCATCTCTAAACAAAACAAAACAGAACAAAATTATAAATATAACATATGTTGTATAGGACTGTCCTCTGACAGACAGACACCATCTTCCTGAGCTCAGCTGCACCAACTGCTTGCCTAAGAGCATCACAGCTGGGCTTGTTGACTGCTTACACCCCACACACACTCTCTGCCCCACCCATACCCTTAGCCCTGTGGGTCCTGTGAATTGAGTTCAAGTTGTCAAGCTTTTACCTGCCATTTCACAAACCCAAGAAATATATTTTTGTTAATGAAACAGTCGTTACTTATTTTGTTAAAATAGAGCTTATATAAGTAATTAAACAAAAGATATACAGACAATGGAATATTGTTCAACCTTCAAAGGGAATGACATTTTGACACATGCTACAATGCGGATGAACCTTGGAAACTACAGTAAGTGAAATCAGCCAGACACAAAAGAATAAATATGAACATTAGTTGGAAACGTGTTATATTAGTGAGAAACACAGAGAGCATTGAAACTAACAAAGAGCCCTAAAAGAGTAGTACTCATAAGAAATTTTAGTGCTGGGGCTGGAGAGATGGCTCAGCAGTTAAGAACACTGAATGTTCTTGCAGAAGACCTGGGTTTGAATCCCAGCACCCACGTGGCAGCTAACAACTGTCCGTAACTCCAGTTCCAGGGGATCCGACAGTCTCTTCTGTCCTCCAAGGACATTGCACGACACGGGTGCACTTACCTACATGCAGGCAATACATGCGTACACATAAAAATATAAAAATAGTAAATAAAATAAAAAGCAAAAAAAGAAATTTAAATGCAATAAAGCTAGGAAAAGGATGATTTGGAAAAATGAACTCTTGAAGAAAACTATCAAATTACAACCACACAACATTCTAAGTAAACTTCAGAAAGGAAAGATTAATGTTAACAACACAGTAAAAAATACATTTACACTTTCTACTGACTTTTGGAGAGCGACGATTGAGAGATTTGAATTCATAGGTAAATTTTTTTAATTATGCCTTGAAAAATAGGAACTGGGGAGATGGCTCAGTGGTTAAGAACACTAGCTGCTCTTGCAGAAGACCTGGGTTTGATTCCCAGCAACCACATGACAGCTAACAACCATCCATAACTTCAGTTCTGGAGATCCGACATCTTCTTCTGTCCTCCACAGGCACTGTACAACACAGATGCACTTACATATATGTAGGCATAACATCCATATACATAAAATAAAAACAAATAAGTTTAAATTTATATATTAGAAAATAAAGCAAAAATTCAAAAGCAAATGCAAAAGCAGATGCTTAACTAAGCACATATTGAAATAAATTAGAAAGCCTTACTATCTTAACCACTAACATAAAGAAAATAGACATTGAAGGTAATACCTTAATGAAACTGATGAACTGACCTATGAAAACATGTTTACTTTTGTAATTTCTGTGGCAAATTATAATTCACCATTACTCACCTTTTAACCATTCTAAGAATCCTCTGAAAAGTACCTACCATTTGTGAAAGTATTTGACACAACCATTGCAATCATGAACTCACAGCACCTGAGGATGCCTGCACAAGACTGGACTTGCCAACAGCCGGCCATGAATGGAGGAGGAGCTCATGAGGCCCTGCTCCTCCCTGCTGAACTATTGGCTATTGATGGATTCTAGACAAGTGGAAGGCGTTGTCTCCAGTTGTGTATCTGCTGGTGAGCCCACCACACTCCATTAGATAATTCTAAATCTAAGGTCACTCACATAGCCTTAGTTAAACTTACTGGGTCACAAAACAATGCAAAAAGACATGAACATGGCATCGGGACCTATGGGGAGAAGCA